TGTGATCTTTAAGCCCCATTCCAACCCAACCCAACCATTCCAAAATTCTATTGTCTTCCAGGACCCTTCCAACTCAACCACTCCTCAGTTCTTTTGTCTTTAAGGACCATTCCAACCCAACTCAACCACTCTAAGGTTCTACAGCCTTCCAGGACCCTTCCAACTCAACCACTCCTCAGTTCTTTTGCCTTGAAGGACCATTCCAACCCAACGCAACCACTCTAAGGTTCTACATCCTTCCAGGACCCTTCCAACTCAACCATTCCTCAGTGCTTTTGGCTTCAAGGACCATTCCAACCCAACCCATCCACTCTAAAGTTCTACATCCTTCCAGGACCCTTCCAACTCAACCATTCCTCAGTTCTTTTGCCTTTAAGGACCATTCCAACCCAACTCATCCACTCTAAGGTTCTACATCCTTCCAGGACCCTTCCAACTCAACTATTCCTCAGTTCTTTTGCCTTTAAGGACCATTCCAACCCAACCCAAGGTTCTACAGCTTTCGAGGACGCTTCCACCCCACCCACCCTACGGCTCCCCGACCTTCAGGGACCCCTCCAACCCAACCCCACCCACCCCCTCCATGGCTCCGCGACTCAACGGCCGCTCAGAACACAGAGCCTCAGCTCCTCCTCCTCCCCACCCCATGGCGACCCCAACGTCCCCGCCGAGACCTCAGCCCGGCGCCGACCCCCAGAAAAGGGGAAGGTCGGGATTTCGGGTGACGCCCCCCGAAGCTCCGCAGCACCCAACCCCCCTCCTGCCCTCCCACTGGAGATAAAGGCGAGCGTGAAAGCCCACCATGGCCCCCCCCTCCGGCCCCCACCTGTACTCCCTCTCCTGCAGGATCTCCACGGGGTCGAGCCCGCGCGGTTTCTGGATGGGGGTGATGCGGTTCTGCTTCTGGTGCAGCTGCACCATGGGGGCGGGCTGGGCCGGCTGCCCCGGGGATTGAGTCTGGGGGGGCATGACGGGCGAAGCGGCGGGGGGCACGGCCGGGGGGGCCGGCGAGGGGCGACCGGTGGGCTGCGGGGGGATCAGCTTCTGCGGGGCGCTGGTGGGGGCTGCAGCGTTCGCCATTGGTCCTGCGGGGAAACAGCCGCCGTGGAGCGGAGCCACCCGGCCACCACTGGGTTCTATGGGGTGGGATCGGCCCCCCCTCGTTAACGGCTGGCCGCTAACGAGCTCGTTAGGGTTCTGCTGGAGGTGAAGGAGTTCGGTTCTTACCTTCAGGCCAGGGTTTGGGGGGGCCGCCCGGGGGCTGCCCTGGCATTCCCGGGGGAACTCCTGAGGGTCCGGGAGGGGGCATATTTGGCCCTCCTATGCCTGCACAGGTATGGGGGGTGGGGGGGTGGGATGAGGGGGGGGGGG